CCACTGACGAAAGTGTGTGTGTGTGTGCGTGTGTGTGTGTGTGTGTGTGTGTGTGTGTGTGTGTGTGTGTGTGTGTGTGTGTGTGTGTGTGTGTGTGTGTGTGTGTGTGTGTGTGTGTGTGTGTGTGTAAACCTGTTGTAACTTTTGAACGCCTCGACCGATTTTATCGCGGTTGGTCCCATTCTAAAGGGCTTCGCTAAACTTAGATTTCCTGTAAGTTGGAACCGATTCAGACGAGTAGATTTCGAGAAATTGCAAAAAAACGACAAAAAAAGTTGTTGTTTTTTATTTTTTTTAAATATCTCCGAATTGGCTGAACCGATCAATTTCAAAAACTAATCAGCGCTTAACCTTTAAATCTTGCATCGATCGCAACATAGAGCGCCAGAATCGGTTGATGCGTTAGTGCGATATCGTTGTCGAAAAAAATCGGTTGATTTATTAAAAAGTTACAGCATTTTGAAAATTAGAAAAATCGTGTTTCATTGAATTTTGATAAGACTTTTGAGCTCGAAGAGTTTAAAAGCATAGCAAAGCTATCTCTTCAAGCTCGGAGAGCTCAAAATAATACATAAATTGTATAAAAACATCATCAGTCCAATTTCAAGCCCCTAGGTATTGAATTAGAGGGAAGTTGCAGGGATGGTCTTCACGGTCAACCGTTTTTCTAATTGTTTTTCTTTTGGCATAAGTTCGGTAAATGGTAATCAAAAACTTCTGACCAAAATTTGTCCAAATCGAAAGGGGTTGACTCTAACTATTTGTCAATTTGACATAAAATGCTCCAATTGCTAACTATTTCTTTAAATTTCGAAATTGAGTCATTTTTAAATGGCTGTTACTTCTAACTAATGATCGACCTTCTCCTGACCCAACAATCAGCCAAGTCGTAAAGAAAAAGGATTTGAAAAAAAGCCCTCAACAAGGAGCGGCAATGCGAAGCGACGGACAGGAAGAAGCGTCGGTTTTGCAAAAAATTCAGTCCAAGAAAGAGCTAAAGCGACAGAAGAAAGAGATGCTCTCAAAACAGATGACAAAGGAACTCCGACCTGAACCCAAGCAACAGAAACCGCGGAAATCGATCAGACCGGATGCCTCATCATCTGGATGACAGAGAAAGCAAAGTACGCCGAGATCCTGCACCGAATAAAACAGGACGTCCCTGATGACCAGGTCTGCACTACGGTAGAGAAGATCCATAAGACCAATGCTGGAGATATGCTGATAACTCTTTCGAGGAAGAGCACCGACAAAGGCCAAACATTGGGAAAGACTATTGCAGACATTCTGAAAAAAGATGCAAGAGTAATCTGCAAAGGACCACAGGAGGAAATTGAGATCCGAGACGTCGATGATGACACAACTGAAGAGCACATCCAGGGTGCCCTACAAAAGGAAGCTGGAGATGGCTGTGAGATACCACTAGAGGCAATAAAGATCCGTAAGGCATAGGCCTTACTATAGAGGTACTTAAACTGCCACAGTAGTTCTACCAGCAGCAACAGCACAGAAACTACTGGATGGAAACAGCAAAATCCGAATTGGTTGGGTTAATTGCCGAATAAGGGCAACGAAGAGACCTATTCAATGCTTTAAATGCTGGCATTTCGGACATCATGGATCCCAGTGCAGAAGCAAGGTGGACCGGTCGAAGCTTAGCATCAGGTGCGGGCAAAAAGGGCACAAGATTGCTGATTGTAAAAATCCAGCCAAATGTGCATTATGTGCTGAGAATGAAATTGCAGAGACTGTTGCCCACCATGCCGGTACCCATAAGTGCCCGTTATTTCAAGATGCACTCCAGAAGTTGATGAACAAACAAGCATGAGGATACTGCAGCTCAATCTCAACCATTGTAAGGCAGCGCATGACCTGCTCATGCAAGCCGTGCGAGAACTAGAGCTTGACCTGGTACTGATAGCAGAGCCATATAAACACCTGAGTACCCAACCCTGGGAATTTGACAGCACATCCAAAGCTGTCATCTGGTCATGTGGCAAGCTCCCTTTCCAAAATGCAGTTGACAACAGCAATGCCGGCTTTGTAGCAGAAACAGTTAACGGCATCCGTTTCTACAGCTGTTATGCATCACCTAGCCTATCCATTGTGGAATTCATTGAATTCTTAGACAAACTGACCGAGGACGCCAAGCAACATCATCCAGTCCCGATTGCCGGTGACTTCAACTCCTGGGCAGAAGACTGGGGCAGCCTTATTCTACATTAGATGTAGTACTGCTCAACAGTGGTGATACATCAACCTACACCAAAGGAGACGCAAGTTCTATTGTAGATCTTACTTTCGTCAGTAGCAGCCTCACCAGAGGTTATATCAACTGGAAGGTGATGGATACCTACACAGCCAGAGACCACAACGTGATTCTATGGAAAATACTAAACGTCCAGAGCGCGAGAAGACCTAAAAAGCAACTTAACACTATTGGTTGGAAAGTAAAAACAGATTATCGCGGGCTGCGCAGAAGAGAAGACCAAGGACCTGATGAATAGAGAGACCCAGGCTTGTGACGCCAGAATGTCTCGTAGAGGTGGCATGAACACAAGACCTTCCGTTCACTGGTGGAACGACCACATCAGCGCACTTCGTAAAGAGTGTTATAAGAAGAGAAGAATATCTCAGCGTGGCTACCGACGACCTAACTCTGCGGAGCTGGTCGCAGAGTACAAAAAAGCCCGTCGATCCCTGAACAAAGCCATCAAAGATAGCAAAAGAAAATGCTGGAAGGAGCTCATCAACGAGGTAGACAGAGATCTGTGGGGGAGGCCGTTTAAGGTGGTCATGACCTATCTTAAAAACCAGCTAAAGCCATCACCCACGTGTCCTCAACTCCTACAGAAGATCGTAAACGCGTTGTTCCCCGAACAAAGCGAGTTTAACTACCTATTAACGCAGAATAAAATGGATGACATTCCATTTGTCACGGAGGAAGAACTGATGGAGGTATGTAATCCTGAAGGGAACAATAAAGCGCCGGGATTGGACGGGGTCCCCGAAGCAATAACTTTAAAAACAACTGTAAAAGCAGTGCCATCATTGTTTCTGGACGTCTACAAGACATGCCTCAAGGAAGGGATTTTCCCTCGGAAGTGGAAGCAGCAACGACTAGTACTACTTCCAAAAGGGAAAAAGCGACCAGAAGAACCGTCATCTTATCGACCACTTTGTATGTTAGACACGGCAGGTAAGATACTTGAGCGTATAATCCACCAAAGAATAGAAGCAGTTGTCGATCCACTCCTGGCAGACAACCAGTATGGTTTTCGGAAAGTACGATCAACCCTGGACGCAATCAACCTGGTTGTTGCAACGGCCAAGGAGGCAATCGAAGGCATCAGATGGAAGGGTGGAGCGGAGAAGTACTGCCTGGTGGCCACTCTGGACATCAAAAATGCCTTCAACTCCGCCAACTGGGACTGCATTATGCAAGCCATGGAAGAGAAAAACGTACCAGGATACCTACGTAGGATAGTAGCTAGCTACTTCACGGACAGAATCCTGAGATACGACACGAAGAATGGTCCAAATGAGTATGATATTACCGGAGGTGTACCCCAGGGCTCTGATCTGGGTCCACTTCTCTGGAATGTCATGTATGATGGCCTGCTGAGACTGACTCTTCCAAGAAGTGTCAAGTTTATTGCATATGCAGATGATGTAACTGTCGTAATCGTTTCTAAACACCTAGATGAGATAAACCACATGTTCAGTATCACTTTTGAGAAAGTTAACCGGTGGATAGATTCAATGAATCTACAACTGGCTAAACAGAAGACTGAGGCTGTGCTTATTACCAGCAGAAAAATGATAGAGACCATAACACTAAAAGTCGAAGAACAAGAAATCACATCACAACCATATATCCGATATTTGGGAGTGATGCTTGATGCCCGACTCAACTTTAAGCAGCAAGTCGAACACGTGAGTGCAAAAGCATCAGCAGTAGTAGCTAGCTTAGCACTTCCTGCCCATCCTGCCCGTCCTGCCCCGGAGCCACTGAAGATGCAGAACACGTTGTTTTCGAGTGCTCGCGTTTTTATCCTCAACGAGAGGAGCTGGAGAAGATCCTGAAGAAGAGAATTTAACCAGAGTCAATCGTAGAAGCAATGTTGTCTTCAGAAGCTGCCTGGAATGCAATGAACATTTTTGCCACAGAAGTGCTTACTGAGCTGTGTTTCATCAGGAGAAAAAGAGCAAAAGACTGAATCTAGAAGGAAGAAATAACATCTTAGCCACCAGAAGGGAGAGCGGCAGCTAATTCCTCCCCCCGCGAAGAAATGCTTTACGGCGGTACTATGGGGGATCAGAGGATAGAAGAGAAAGGGGTTTAGGGTTTAGCGGGTAGGGGTGTCAGCGTCGAGTTTTAGTATGACGCTGCGTCGAGTCGCCCCATATCCAGGCCAAACAGCTATGCCTCGAATCCGTAAAGAGAATTCCCCCCCCCCTAAGGGAAAAAAGACCCACACACACACACACACGGAGGGTAGCGTTGTTCGCGTCCGTAGGTTCTGCTTTTACACCCTACACGTGCTCTCCGGGTAGTGCGGAATGAACAACACCAAACAACGATATGGAAATGTCAGAAGATATTCAAACAACGTTTACAGTACAGAGGATGGATACCTCAGTGCCGGCGAGGGAAGGCGTGCAAACGGGCCTGAACGCGTCGTTACCAAGCGACAGCGGGGTGGACCCGATGGCTCTGCTGTCTGGAAATGCTACAGGGAGTACGAAAACAGCCCAGATAGAGGAGAACGGACAGATGAGCAACGCTCCTCCCAATAGTGGAGGACCTTTTGCTCCTGTCACTAATCAAACCCATCGAGGAAGAATGAACTCTCTACCGACCGTCACCGGCCAACAGTCGCCAATGGAGAGGCTCGGCAACAAGATTGATAAGTTAGTCGACTTCATAAAAGACAAGAAGAATCTCCATCATGAGATCAGGAAATTGATTACGTCTATTAGTACGGCATATAGGCTGGCCAACAAATCACTAACGAAGTCGACGTCAACGACTCAAACATCTCTGAGTCTGAGCGAAAAATCACAGCCACCTCTGGTCACTTCTAAAAAATTACCACAGCATGGAGATGGCAACAACAAGAAGAGGCCGCTGTCCACGTCCAGCCCTTCCTCAGATATTGACAAGCCAGCACAGAAAAGATAGCCCGGGATGATACCTGGACTAAAGTGACTCGGCAAAACAAGAAAAAGAAAGAACAGGAGCCAGTGACTCAAGTTGCTATAGCCCAAGACCAGCCAAACAGCGGTGGCTCCAAGAAACCAAGGAGGAAGAAGACAAGAACTAAAGCTGTCCTTGTCCAACCAGCTGAAGGGCGAACATACGCCGATCTCCTCAAGGAAATCAAGGCTAAGGTAAGCCCTGTCGAGACAGACGTAGACATAAGGTCTATCAAGAAGACGAAACATGGAGGCGTTCTTCTTGAAATAGCTCGAAAGACCGAAGACAGCAAGGCATTCACCGATGCAGCAAAGGCAGCTACTGCACGGTCAAGATGTTAACACCTGTAAAGTAGATTTTTCTTACACGATAAATTTTCACGGCAAACGATAATTCACTACGTTACACTTCGTCCATCTTAGCCATCTCTCGATCTCCAGGAACCCCGACAGGCGCCAGCCGACTTTTGTTTCATCGGTATCGGCAACCGGGATACGACAACTTAAATTTTTATGTTCCTAGAAGATCAAGAGCAGCCTCGATGGTAACGGAATGCCTCGGTGTCGCTCAGTTATGCAGGTTATGGAGAGAGGGTCGTGATTCGTCTCTTAGAGGAAGTAATTTCCTTACAAAACAGGACTAACGATACCTAGTACACTAATCGGTACTCTTAAACTAACACTCAACCTTATTATTCGGTAAAAATAAAATAAATCGATATCATGAACTTAGAAAAATAGTAGCGTCCATTGGCACGGCATATAAGTTGGCCAACAAACCAGTAACGAAGTCGGCGATGACCACGCAAATATCTCCGGGTCTGAACAAAAAATCACACTCGTTTTTGGTCACCCCTGAGGAATCCCAGCATGGAGAAGGAAAACAACAAGAAGAGGCCGTTGTCTACGCCC